GTAGATGACTTTAACACTCTGATCTTTTGTTGGCCAACCATACCTGAATATTCTTATTTAATGCTGAAACAGATTATCTTATTTAATTTTAGGACCACAGGACAGACATTCCAGCATACTGCATACTGTGCATTTTTACTAAGGAGGAGGGTCCCCATTTGTAGGTTTGTACTTTGTGCTTTTGTCTCTCTAGCCAGCAAAAATCACCATCACACACCTCCCATTTTTAGGGAATGCTCAGATGCCTGTTGTAAAACCAGTGTAACCACAATTCACAATTCAATTGGGTAAACAAGCTGAGCATGTGGCATACCGTACATACAATAAGTGAGTTCTGAATTTCTGTGATATCCAAAATGAAGGTTTTGAATTCATTCAGTATCAGTGAACAACTGTATCTCCCCAATTCATAAAAGTGCTTCTACTTAGCTGTCTGTGTCGGCCAAATAAACATCAGAATTATATGGCAGAGAACCAGAGTGAAGCAGAGCTACTATACCTCATCAGCAGGGTCAAGTGGAGCAAACGCTGAAAGAAATGAAGTTTAGCAAAAGATGCCAAAGCAGAGCAGACAGGTCTGTGTGGTGATTTTGTGATAAATCTGCTCCTCTCACTTCTCTCACCCTTTTTGCAAGTGATAATATAAAGGAGATAACAGGTCTTTAAATGATTTTAGCGATGCTGCTTTTTATGCTTCTTATAGTTTTTAATGAGAAAGAAAAAAAACACAGCTCACCTATCAATTTTCCACCCTGTGGTTTGAGATCATTTCCCTCATGCTGTGCTACATCTGGAATTTCAGGGTTGGCAGAACCTGCAAGTCAGAGTAATCATAATTTGTTTATTTATATTTGATTGTTTTTTTTTCCTTTTTTGTTTTGTGAAACCAAGAATTATGAAATCAAAGAAACCTGATTCATAGTATGTAAAAAGGGCACCCATTTTCTTTTGCTTTTGTATTCTGTTTACACTCACAATTTATAATCTAAGGTTTGACTAAAAGGCAAAGATTCCTGTATTTTTCATGCTTTTACAATGTGAGGATCATAAATTGTGTTCTAAGTGCATTAAGATTGAAACACTAAGAAAATAAAGGTTAACCTGGTTGCCTTTGCAGTAACATGCACTGCTGAAAAAGAGCAAAGATAACTAAAATTGACTGTATAAACTAGGTTTTACTGAACCACAGGTTGTGCCCTTAAGTGTAACATTTAAAAAACAAGAAATGTAAGTACTACAATTGATTTAAGCATTAATAAAATCCTTAAAAAATTATTACATATATATATAAATTCTTATTTTCCAATACTATAACACATTTGAAAAAGAAAGGCATATCATTTTTCACATTGGTTGTGATTAATCTAAGAGATAAAGCATCTCTTTTGTAAACCAAGAAGTTGGTTTACTAGTTGCTTGAAGATTTTTATGTGAATTTAAATGCAATAGTCATCTGAATAAGGCTGCTTGAGATAACTAATATTTGGTGACTGCTGAGGTTTGACTTTAATAAATCAGATACTAAATAATATTCAGATGAAAAATGTTTTTAATTGAACATTTAGCACCTAGTTAGGTCAGTTGCTTTTTACTGTGTACTGCAAGGGATAAAAGACGCATACTGTATTACTCTGTAATACCGTATGTGAAAGCAAAATTCTTCCTTAAATCCTCAGTTTGTATCTTCTTACTTTTTTCTTACAGATTTTATTTTTATTTACTGTAAATTTGTATGAAATAAACTTTGAATTTCAAACTTATGTAACCGAGTAACAATTCTCAGCCATGGTACATTATCTGCAGACTACCCTGCCAGGTTCAGGACACACTCAGATGGGAGCGCACTGTGTCTCCACATTAGAGAATGTCATCATGCCATGACACAAACTGTCCCTGTACGAAATATGCAGGCTGAAAAAAAAGAGAGATGCAAGTGTAGTAAACAACTGACAGGAATAAATAGTGATAAAAATGGCCTTAGAATTTTTAAGAAGGTTTGCTTACTATCTACACTTCTCAGTTTCGTTCATAACATTTGATTCCCCTTTGTTCAGTTCATGTGAGCTGTCCTGCATGTGCCATCTAGAATTTGACAATGCTGCACTCAAACTAGCCCTGATCTGGTCACTTGTGCAGCAGATGAAGAAGTTAAAAAATAAAAGCTGCTGCTAAAAAATAAACATTATTTGAAGAAAACTTCAGATGTTCACGACTGTAGTTGCATTAGTTGCGCAATCTAAGATCTGTCAATCATGAAATAATTTCAATTGAATGGACAGCAAACAATACAGCAATTGACAAACACCTTTATGGGATACCTGTCTAAGTCTTCAACATTTGTTTTTTGCTTGTTTGATAAGATGTTCAGATGACCCGTCTGAAATACACATATCCCAATTTGGTGCACACAAATTGCTAAATATTTTAGCTCTCTGAAAGCCTTAGTGATTCTATTGATCAATGGCAGTTATGCTTGAAATTCTTCTCTAATTTTATTGATCTGTTCTGCCGTTTAACTGTTCATACATACAGGTACAGCATAAAAAACACACATTCCCTTCATTAAGGAAAATACATCTAAAACTGAGAAGTTGTACATTCTCTTTGAAAACATTGTCTGACACTTTAGATACAATTTTTACCTGCACTTGGTGAGGAGGGCTCAAACACACTAGAGGTGTCACTGTATGTGTTTGAGGCTTGCTCTGACAGCTTCTTTTTAGCACTTCCATCAGAGGATTTATGAGATTTCTTCTTGTTTTTGATCAGAATTTTGCCCATCAAATCCTGGGGACATGGCAAGGGAACACCTGGTTCAAGCTATAGAAAAAAAGAAAGTAACAAATTTGAACAGAGCCAATCAAACAGTTTAACAAGTTTGCTGGTGGACAGGATTACACAAACAACAATTCCTTTGTGTCATTCTCTTTAATCTCTCCTGGGAAAAGAAGAAAGGTCTCCCTTTTTATATCAGACTATCTTTTTAATATACTTTTTGACCATCTCTTGAAACTTTTGCTTCTGTAACATATGAGACTAACACTCTTTGTGATATGTGAAGCATTCATTTTTGACTGTAACAAAAACACAGAATAGAACACAATGAAATAACAGTTATGGTGAATCTATTGTACATACTTTTTCCAGAAAAGAAACAGGTTCAATTGGTCTTGTCAAAAACATTTCTAGGTTTCTGGGTCACAGATTGGTGTTCATGGAATATTTAGGACTACAGACACAAATACAAGATTTGAAACTATGAAAATAAGAGGAAACTATTTATACTATATATATTTACTATGAGTATTTAATTTGTATTCTAGTAACTTGTAACGGCTGGTTTAAATCTGATTGATATATGTTACTCTGTACCAAAGTAGCTTAACTGATGAACGATTAGAACTATTAAATGTTTTATTTATGAACCATGGATCATAAGTAACTGGTAGCATGATGGTGCAGCAGTTAGCAGAACTTTGGTCGTAGGTTCAGTTCCTGGAGTGCAATCTGTATGGAGTTCGTATGTTCTCCCAGTGTTCTTCCCACAGTACAAAGACATACTGGCAGGTTAAATGGCTTCTGGGAAAACTGGCCTTAGTGTGAATGTGTGTTTGTGTCTGCATGTGGCCTGCAATGGAGTGGTGTCCTGTCCAGAGTGAATCCCACTGCTTCCTGGATTAGGCAGAGATCACAGGTTTTCATTTTTTTCAAATTTATTGATGAAATTATGAATAATGACCAAACTTATTATCAGCAGAGAAAAAGCCTTAACCAAAAACAGAACAGAATTATATTTCCAGCTTTAGGAACTGAAACAGCCATATAAGTGAATAGCCAGTTCGGAACATTAATCATTAAAGTGCAGTCTTCACCGTGGACCACAGGGACACTCTTGCACAGTCCGAAAACATACTGGCAGGATAATTGGCTTCCGGGAAAAATGACCCTGGTGTGAGTGTCTCTGTCTGTGTGTTCCATAGGATGGACTGACTTCCTGTCCAAGGTGTACCTTGTCTTGTACCTGTTCTTTGCCAGGATAGACTCTGGCTATCCAATATCCTGTATTGGATAAAGTGGTTAAAAAAAGAATGATTGTAATAATCAATAGTGTTAAATTTGACAGTGAATGGTACATGTGTAATTTACACAATTCAGAAAATGCTCATTGGTAATGTCTTGAATAATGTTTTGTTGCTCTGTGTAAGCCAGCTGTTTCACAGTTCTAAGGAAATAAAAGCTTCAGCAATCTTGTTTGCCACATGAAAAAAGAAAATGGTTTAAGATTCTGCAATATTACGTTGTTCTAACCAGGTCAAAACTAGAAGTCAGCATCTTTAATTCACATTACTTCTTGAGTCAACACTTGACACTGCTATTATAATGTGATGACAAGAGCCAATCAGCAGCAACAGATGTAATGAATGTTACCAAGGAAACGATGTTGTGCACTAACTCAAGATCATGTACAGAGGTTTGTAGACAATATACAACAGTGTTGCCAGGTTTCATGTTCACACACAATAGTAAATGTTATATTCACCATGCTATAATTTTGGAGAGTAAGGTGGCTTTATCCAGTACTCTGTAAGTTTCAAATTAATACTGCACAATGTCTATTTAGACAGTTTTCCAATCTATAAAATGGACTATCACTATGGACTAGCACTAATATATGCTACATTAGCTTATCATATTCAGTAGTGAGGCGAAACAATATCTCTTAATATCCCTTAATTATCATAGAAAACAGTAAATAAAAATAATATACAGTATACTAGATTATAACCATAAATTATATTCTAAGTAAAGAAAAGAAGAGCTAATGGCAGCACAGAGCACTGAAAACTGCAAAAATATATAGAACCCGCCATTCAGAATGCTTGAAGCATAATGCACCATACTGCAAAACATACTTCATTACATCACATTTGTAATGCAAAACACCTTTTTGTTTTTTCAAATAATCTGATATAGGAGTGCACAATTGAATTTGGTTCTCCTGCACCATTATAGTGGAGCTGAAAAAAATATTGCTTTATCTCAGGAACAAATACTACTTTCTACAATAAAATGGAGCGTGTTATTATTAATAATAATTAGAATAAAATACTTAAACTAAACATTTCCTATAGCTGTTTATTATTTCTTGTATAGGTTTTGACTCATTTTAGCCTCTTCCACTTTACAAAACTGCTTTAATTTAGTGACGTTTGAAAGCGTGAATTGGGGTACTGCACTGGACTTTTTCCATGAATGCATGGCTTTATCTCTGATAAATTAACTTGGTTGAATAAGGGTCTCCAAGAAGCAATGTTCATGAAGCATAATAAAAGCATAAGAAATTAAGAACAACCTGTTTACAGTATATACTGTAAATTTGGGCAATTAACTATTAGTCTATTCACAACAAATAACTTAATCCACTAATGGATTTATCACAGATTACTAGAAAAAGGTTGAGGTTTTCCATTGCTTTTCATGGTGGCTTTGTCAAACCTTGACTAAGATACTGTAGCAACAGTATTTAAGGAGCAGGGCCTGGGTAGGTCAATAACAATTTTCTCATTTCCATAATATATAGTACTGTATATTGCACTCAAAACAGAGAGCATCTTTCAGAAATCACTCCTTCAACTTAAAACTAGCAACCCACTGAAGTAAAGCAGGTATGAGTCTGGTCAGTACCTTGCAGAATCTCACCTAGCAGATCAGAGCACAGAGAAAGTGTCTCACCAATCGATTTTCTAATTGCTTTATCTAATACAAGGTCGCATTGGCACTGTGATCCTCACACCCACATGCTCATAAGAACTCTGTACAAGAGACAGCAGTAGAGGGGTTAATGTGCCTTAGATCAAAGCATTCAGTTTCATCTGCATGAAGTAGAAACTGTAGATTGTTTCAGTAATGGATTTGAAAATGCATAAGGTAACACATACCAGTCAAGGAGAAAACACCTCAATAAGCTAGGAATTAGACTGTTATTAAAATAAAATGCTTTATTGAGATTTGAGACTCCAGCCTCGTTGTTCCAACTTTGGGTGGAACAGCACTTTTAAGTGCTGTAAATCTGTGTGTCTAGAAAAATATGAAATTTCAGACTTTTTTTATGAAATGTCATTCATGTGTGGGATGTAGGATGTAGGAAATCATGAATGAACTAGATACATTTTATAAGGGATGGTTTTGTGATTAAGGAATTTAATAACAAAAATGCAACATTTACTGTATTAACACTTTATTGTCTACGTGATCTTGTGTAACATGTTTCCCTTACTGTATGTCGGTGGTTGCTGCGCTTAAAGAAATTAGAAAATGGATAGACTAGTGAATGCATAACTGTAAAAACTTTTCAATTCTAATCCAACATGGAGGACTTTCTCTTTGTGTTTCTTAAAAAGTTAGCCCACGCCCAGTTTCTCACCCCCGCTCCAATGAGAGGACTAGATGTTAAGTTGAGAAAGTGCTTTAATGACTTTGGAGAAGCCCAAATATTATAAATTGATTATAAACGATCCAAAATCATCATATTGCTTGAAGAATTTAAAAGCCATCTGCCTGACCATTTCTGAATGAGCAGAAAGAGAGATTGTTGGTCTCATCTAGCTGGTAGGTA